GAGATATGATTAGGTGGCCATATCAATTTATTATGGTAGATTGCTTATAGTGATTGAATGACAAGTCTTATACTTGTAGTTGATCATTTGTCAAAAGTGAGTAATGTGGCTCGGGTACATGGATGATTTTATGGTTTGTATTTTGCTTCTATGAATCAGGTACGAAAAATATCATGACTATTATGGAGGTGTCAAGGATGAGAGAAAATCTAACTACACCGATATGGTGAGAGTCATCTACTTTGATTTGTCTTTTATACATTGTGGCTTCTTTTTTCACAAAAATTAAGTGTAATTCAGGATAACTAAAACAATTAAGTGACAATTTCAGGTAAACAAATACTATGATCTTGTCACAAGTTTCTATGAATATGGCTGGGGAGAATCATTCCACTTTGCAGCCAGGTGAATTTTACCCCTTTCAAGTATTCTCGTTAGCTAAACCGTTATTCTGCATTCACACGATTGTTTTCCATACGATACATCAGAGAGAGAGAGAGAGTTTTAGATGAATCGCAGTTGTTTCTTCCAGAATCACTAAGCTAAATTATTGGGTTATGTGCAGATGGAAAGGAGAGTCTCTGCAAGAGAGCATTAAAAGGCATGAGCACTTCCTTGCCTTACAACTTGGCCTTAAACCAGGACAAAAGGTGTTGTTCGAAAGATTTTTGTTGAAACTCATACTACACTTTCACTTCTTTATTAATCAATATGTTTGATCTTTCTGCTGTCTCTGCAGGTCTTGGATGTAGGATGTGGAATTGGTGGACCATTAAGAGAAATTGCTCGATTCAGGTGAGAAGAGGATTCAGTGTGTTTATATTGTTTGATCGGTAATCATTTTGATACACTTTCATACATACAGTTTGTGTGTTGATATTTTGAACAACGGTGCTTGATAGGATAGTACCCTGCATTTAATTATGAAACACAAAGTCACAAAGTTGCTCAAGTTTACTCATGTCTCGAACAATATATCACGTATGTAAATATTAACTAACCTAACTATACATGATAAATTGAGAATATACTGTTAAATTATTGACCCCATCCGATTTGTCGATCGTTTATGTAGTTACTTTCACTTAAATGAAGGCTACTCGAAGAAGAAATTTCCATCCAGTTTAGAGAAAATTATTTATTCGTCTATATCTTAAGTATGGAGTTGTCGGATATACACCATTATGATGAATCTTTAATTGTGTTCCGCGATTTTTTTTTTTTACCTTCGAGACCTGCCACTTAGACTCTTACTTTTGCTTTGACATCTTGTAGTTCTACATCTATTACGGGGCTCAACAATAATGAATATCAGATAACGCGAGGAAAGGTATGTATTCATATCTTAGATTGTTGAGATATGGATCCACTAAACCTTTTAGTGCCTGTACTTTTACTTCCTAGAAATTTATCTTCTACATATCTAAAAACTGGTTGGAATAGAACTAGAATTGATATTGGCAAAAAATCCGTTCACATTTGAATGGAAGTATATTTAATTCCAAATTTTAGGCTTCAAATCCTAGGATGCACCGAATCCCTTCCCGATGTTGGTGAGTTGGCTTCGATATGTGTTGGACGCTGACACATTCTTGACAATTCTCCGACAAGTGTTGGCATGTCCAAATTATTTTTTTGGTTTTGTAGAGTTAGACACGTTGTCGATACTTTGTCAACATGTTATCAATACATTGTCAATACATTCTCGACATGCCGGACTTAACAAAATTAAATTTACTTTACAATATGAGCCCCTGTTTGACATTCTTAAATTTTTTTTTAAAAAAACATTGTTTTAAATAGTATTTTTTGGAGAACGTGTGGTTAAAAAGTAAAGGAAAATTTCGGATTTATGTGCAGAATATTTTATTGTGTGAATGTATGGTTGAAAATGAATATGAGAAATAAATTAAAGTAAATGATGTCAAACGGGCTAAATAATAAAAATAGTATTATGTTAAGTGTCAATACATTTTTGAAAAATTGTGTCCGTGAGTCAGTGTCACTACTTCCGAGTTCAAATCCTTGTTGTCAAATACCATGCAAATTCTGTTCAAATTGTGTCTTTGAATGTTGCAGGCCCTAAACCGCGTTGCAGGAGTAGACAAGACTTGTGACTTCGTGAAAGTCGGTGAAGTTGGAATCAAGCTTATATTTCATTCTGATTTTCTTATCTTTCTAGACTTTTTATCATTTCTTAATGACGATGCAGGCCGATTTCATGAAGATGCCATTCCCAGACAATAGTTTTGATGCAATATATGCAATTGAAGCGACTTGCCATGCTCCGGATGCGGTGCGTAAATTTATAAATTATAATCAGTTATCATTACAGAAATAATTATATGTTTTTTTTTTGGCGTTACACTTGAGCTGTTATTCACTTTCCCTACTTGTGGATAGGTTGGGTGCTACAAGGAGATTTACAGGGTACTGAAACCAGGTCAGTGTTTCTGTTAAATCTGTGATGATTTTATTT